CTGAGCATCAATGTGAGTTTTCATTATTTTTCATCTACAGAGTATAATGTTCTTGTAACTACAAAAGATAAAGCCATAACAGGAGAAATATGCAGGCAATGACTCTTTGCAGACCTTTGTAGTGCAAATAGTTGTGCAAACAGTTAATTCTCACAGCTTTCAGGCTGTAGACAGGTCACCCTTAACACCTCAAATGTAAAACTGTAACAAGACATGCTTTAACATATGGAATATTTCTAGTTCTGTATGGAACTTTGGAAGCATTTATGCATTGCTGAAGTTTTTGGCAAATTTCCTATAGATTTCTGTAGGACAAAAGTCCACTGATCCTATGTGTCATTTAGAAATCTCTGTTTTGGCCTAAAAACAAAAAGGAAGACATATTTACCATGGAAGATTCAGAATCAGGCTTCAAACATTTGTGCATGAAAATTTTTGAAAAATGATTCACTTTCATATTTAATACAAATTGAGGTGCTAGCAACTATAGATTTAAACCATTAAGATTCCGGGGTAACCAAAAATTCTTAGAAGTTTGAGTTTTGGTCTGCATAATGAAAAAACAAGTAGTGAACCTATAGTCTCTTGCACTGAATGAGGTGAGTGGACTTAGGCACTAATATAGCAGTGAGGTTCTCCTTGCTTTCTCTTTTGCTAACTAGCTCCAATAAAACAGCAGTCATGGTGGTAGCAGTAACTCCTAGGTTTGTGCAAGGTGCTGTTCCCTTTTGCATCTGCTTATGTTCCACCAGTAGTATTAAGTGACATAGCCAGGGAAGCACTTTCCAAAAAGTAAATTAAGATAAATACTTAAAATGCTAATCCTCTGTTAGTAAAGTTGTAAGGTGTTGTAAGCCTCTTGGCAAATATTGAATGAGCTCCTGCTTCTGAAGTTAATCTACAGTTCCCAGATTTTCTCTCTCTGCATTCAGAACTCCAGCAGAAAAATCTCAGTCACCTCAGCTGGACCAAATCCTGGATTTGGCTGTTTCCATTTTATGTATTGCATTGCTATCAGATGCATGAAAAGGGGATGATCAATATCAGCCCTCCTTATTCTGCACTCTCAAATCCCTCACTGAAATGAGGATTGGGAGCTGCCCATTTTCCTAAGGCAGGGCTATTTCTGCCCCTAGCAATAGTGCTCCAAACCTTAAATAAAAATATAATACTGATTAGATCACTTGTTTTTTTTTATAAAATACTTTATTAAGAATAATAAGAGTAAACAAGATTACAAAAATACCAACTTTATTAACTAATGAAGATGCAGTAAATTACAGAATGTTTTTATTACAAGTTATAACCACAGTGTTCCCTTTCTGATAGGCATTCAGCTAGTTGTATCTAGTGGGAACATTATTTTTTCCCACCTTAATACAAAAGAACTATTATAACATACACCGAATTCCGCAGTCAGCTCTCTGAAGCTGGATCCCATGCCATGCCTAAATGCCCAACAGCATATACAAAAAGGAACACTACACAAGTTTATGATGAAAAGCCATGTCAGTTCCTGCCAGCAGTCCCAACATTCATAAAACCAGTGCACATGCAGGAGGAAGAAAATAATTGAAAAGGAAACAACACCTAACAACAAATGCAATGGGTTTTATGCAGGTTCCAGTGGGGGTCAGCTGGTTTACAACCAGCTTCCAAAAACATGGAAATAAAGCCTGGCCTGCTGTTACACTTGCTCCAGAGCTCAAAATCTGAGTTTTTGACATACAAGGTTGTGAGTTGTTCAGTGAATGAGAGGATGGAAAAGCATTGAGCAAATTTCAGCCCCGGTTCTTTTGACAATGACATTCATTGATTTCAAGGGACATTTTGCCTGAGTAGATTCTAACCCTCAGAGACAAATTTGGACCCTCATTTGAAAACTCTGACTTCTGTAAGTAGCTCTGTCAAGTGCTTTGGCATTGCCCACGGGAAGGGTCTGAAGGATACCTCAGAGAATTGCAATCTTAAACTAGAGATGAAGATTTCAGCAGCAGCAGCAAAAACCTAGATCAGTACATTCCCAGTGAGAGTTACAGTTTCTCCAAGGGTCATGAGGTTTATGAAAGACAAAAAGAGGGAAAAAATGTTCTTTTAGGGGAAAAAATAATTAATGAAAGGAAGAATTATCAGTCAGTTCAATGTCTAGAGAAGATCAATCAAAGTCAAATTAACTTCAGCGGTGCAGTCAGGTCTTAAGTCTTAATTCCGAAATTTTGTATCCAGTTATTGCACTTTCCAGGGTTCATGGACTATTTTCAGCAAAGAAAATAAAGACGAAACTGTGGATTTTAGGAATGTCCTCAGATAAGATTTTGAGTTTTGTAGCCTTCTCAGTCAATTACACTTCTTTAATATGAAAAAAAAGCACATATACAAAGTGAAGTCCAAATCCTACTGAAGTCAATAAGAGGCTTTCCAGGAATTTAGATGGGCACTACATCAGGTTCCCCTGTTATTACAGAAAGAAAAAAGTCAGAAAAAATGAAGAAATAACTATACAGTGTCCTTTTAAAGAGAATCCTGTAGTTATAACAGTTGCCTGCTACAGTACCATTGGTACCAACAAGAAATATTCACAGGAATAAATGAAGTACAAATCCATTATCACATATCATTATTCTTTTCTTCCCTTGCTCTCCAGAGTCTCATGTGCCCTCCAAACTGAAATGGGGGGAGCAGGAGCACCTGAGAAGCAAGTGCATACAAACATGTTAAGTTCTGGAGCATCAACTCTGCACAACTTACTTTACTGAGGTGCTGCCCAGAACAAACAGGTAAAAATCCTTACACATTGTCTAACAAAAAACAGTATTTTTTCCATATATATATATATATATAAATCACAGTCTTCTGCACAGCAGAAGCTTATAACTAAAATACTTTAGGATTCATTCTTTTTTAGATAGACATAACAAAATGCCTGCAAATATAATACAGTGAGGACATAACAATTCTTAGTATACAAAGAGTGAACATGGAATCATACATTTTATCCACATTCTACTTGTGACTGAAATCAAAACTCACTTGGAGTTTTTAAAAGTCTCTCTTAAAAAGTCAATCCCTTCAATAAGATGTAGTCAGTGTATAGTAAGAATATACTCTTTACATACATGGCAATAATTAACTGTAGATACAACAGGCTAAATCCTGCCCTGTTCTGGCCTGGTGAGTAAGAAAGACCAAAAGGAGCAGAAAGCCTTCAGAGGCAGCCCAGAGAGATGGAGACAGACTATCCATGTAGCATCCACAACACATGTGTGTACTTCTCCGTACAGAGAAGTTGCATCTTGTCTGAGGAGACTATTTACATCATAAAGGATTTCAGAAGCTCTGCTTACTGAAATGCTTCTTCCTATGTGCCAGTAAACCTTTTGGATGCTTAAGATCAATCTCAGTAAGCCACTTAAGCACAGACTGAAACTCATCCCAGTTCACCAGGGTATGTAAGTGTACTTAAGTCCCACTTCTTAAATCAAAGTGCGTTACTGAAGAAAACAATTTGGCGAGTCAACATCAGGGCTGCCTCCCAAAGCAGCTTCCCTAACGAGGTTACTTTCTGACAGGACAGGATGCAACCCTGCATCATCTGAATGTAATGAAATGTTCCTTTATATGTCTGCAGCACGATGTCAGTTTTAGCGGCTAGGCGTTTAGATATGGTACATACCTTACAATTTGCTACTGGAAACATATACAATTACATATCTCACAAACTTAGTAACAGTGCAGTTACTTATGCGGTTACATGTACAGTAGTAAAAATAACAATTGGATATATTTTTTATCAACTTTCCAGAAATTACAGGGTAATTGGTGGTACGTATAATGAAACATTGCCATCTGCTAATTGTATAATGCTTCCACCCATATAAGCAAAAGTCTAAAGGAGAACAAGCACTTTTCAGAGATGATGGTTTGTTCCCTTTCCCCATCAACAGAAATGTTTCTATGTATAGATGGGAAACCCAAGCTATTAAACTCTTAGTGATGTTTTCCATGTTACACACGAGCTCATATCAATCCCTGCAGTCATTTTATTACCCTGAAAAGAATTATAAAAAGGATATATTCTGATAATATTTTTCTTAGGATTTTATTAAAGATCTGATGTCTCTGAAAAGACAATTGTGGTAACTTATATTTTCTTATTATTAAGCCTTTCAGCAAGGGCCCAGATTCAGCTATCCCTTTTTTATGCTTTAACTAGAATTAACTGAATTTATAAAACATGTCTTTTGAGAAAGATTTGGGCATATTTGATTGAAATTTCTTTTAATGACAAAAATGTCTGTTATTAGATAATGAGGAATAATTTTCCAGATCCTATGAAACACACTTCTTAGCATTGTAAATTCATATTTATTTCTGGGACTTCCTTTAAGCAAATGAATGACAATTTTCCATCCAAGTCACTTCTGTGTCTCTTCCCTCATCTAGAGGGTTTCTTGAGATATCTCTTGGGGGACCATGTACACACTGAAGGGACCAAGTACAGAACTCTACATAAAAGGAAGTGATTTTGACAGCTATGAGAGCTCTGCTGATCAAAGTCAGTCAACAATGAAAAGATAACTTCTAAAGAGACTATTTTTTAATGAAACATTCAAACTTTTAACCTCTCGTAATGTGAGAAGAGAAATAGGATCATATGTGCTGTCCTTGATTGATACATATACCTCTCAGTATGTCTTTCATCATGTATGGAGAGAAATATATGGCTCATAGAAATAATAAGATGCGTTAAATAAAACTCTTGTTTTTTTCTCCTTGTAAGATAATCTGAAGAGCAGCATAAAAGAGGTCATATGATCTATTTCTACAAAACCATTTAACACTCATCGATAAGATCTTTGCAAAATTGTTTACCCATTCAAGTATCTTCAGGAGATATGTCACCATACTTGCATATACTGTAAGTCACTCCAACATTTATAAAACAACACTGATAGACCAAAAAAAAAAACAAACAAAAAAAACAAAACAACAAAAACACCCATAAATATTAAAAGCTCAAAAACTTGACTATCAAGTAGTTAAAATTATTGATCTTTACATTATACATTAATTTCATTCTGTCCAAAATCATTCTGTGATTGGTAGTTGTTGAGGTCTGCAGGGCATTGAGTTGCAACTCATCTGTAGGTCAGCAGAATCTTGCGTATCCACTTGGAGTAAAATGCCACCCGAACAAAAATCCCAGGGCGATTTCGGATGGCACATCCACGGCCGGGAACAATCACCCCCACGACAATCTTCACCCTGTTTTGTTCACAAACCAAGGGACCACCATAATCTCTCTAAGAAAAAAATACAAAGAACGTCACTTCTGAAAATGCTACACGACATAGCTCCCACTTGTCTCCTATTGCCGGAGTAGGACCTAGTCTTGCCAAAGGATGAAACCCAGCTACCAACACCTCTTTCACATTCAGAGTTTATATGAGACAATATCACAGGTGCCCTTTGATCTTAGGTTGGTTCATCCAAAAGTTTAGCTATAGGATCTTTCTTTCTACGCAATTCTAATAATTTCCAACTCCCATCCCACTACCAGTGATCTCAATGACCTCTTTCAGCTACCTGGCAAGCGTAATATTTATTTATGTACATATAGGCCAGACAGTCAGATGAACTTCTTTGTTGTAATAAGAGGCTCTGGATAAAAGAGCATAGACAGAGTCCATGAACGGAGTCATTATCCATCAGTCAACCATCTCACAAGGCCCTAGGATGAGAATCTATGTGTTTTTGTAGGCAGGAAAACAAAACAAAACAACAACCCTCCAAAAAACAGGACTGATCATATTTTTTAGTGAAAGAGCCCTAACTAGTTAAAATAACTATGTTTGTTTTTCTGATTGAATGATATATATAGATACCAATATATGTATACTTACTATATGTATATTCACTATGTTCACCTGAAATATGGTGTAAGGCCAACTTGGATGGAAGTCCTATTTAGCACTAAAATCTACTAATTCATTTTAAATTAGATTAGAACTTTAATTTAGAGTATGTTCATATAGGTCTAGGATCTGAACATAGATATTGCAGTTTTAACCCATGCTTAAAAACTTACAGCAAATCTAGCAAACTGCCCACAAAACTAAGCACAAAGCATTTGTACCAGAGCATGAGATACTGTTTCAAAAACTAAAAGCTGACAATTAGCATTCTATTCTCTCTGGATTGCTAGAGAAAAAACAATGCTTGACCTTTATTTGCTTTTTTTTTTTTTTTCTCACTGACTGCAGATTAATTCCCACATGGGCAATGGACTATGTCAGAACCATCAAAGCTGCTCATAAAACATTTTGAAAAGTGGAGTTTCACCTGACAGTCTGATTTTGTTCTTCTGCCTATTCTTTACTGAGGAAGGAGGCTTCAAAGGGAAAGTTAGGGAGCAGGAAACTATCCAATGATTAAGACTGATTACTAATATTAATTCAGTCCATTTCTTCTTTAAGGGCAAAACAAAGTGCAGGATCCCCAGCAGACTTCCATGCAGCTGTTTCATTAATAAACCTTAACATGTCTAAGAGCTCATTTATAATTAAATATTTAATTTTGAAGAAAATGCTCTGCAATAATAAAATGATCCTGTGAAACATTAATAATGAATGGAACACTTCCATTCTTCGACCTTAGGAAGACGTGCTTTACCCACTGTTTTCCTTACCCGTGAGCAGGGAAAATTTCGCTCTTTGATTAACATCAGTAGTAGGAAGCCATCTCTTTTACTCCAAATACTGAACGCACATTGATACTAATGACCACTTTCCTTCCAAACATCAGGCAGAGTTTGCACACAACAATGATATTTTTCTGCCATAAATGATTTACAATATTTCTCCTCTGCCCTCTTTTCTCCACCATCAAAACAAGTCCCAAACCCAAAAGTCTCAATCAAACACCACCATCATTGAAGTAATTCCACTGTTCTCTCTGAGCGTTGGCTCAGCCTTATTAAGGAGTCTAAATGCTATAGCCTCCTGACATAACACTGAACTCTGCATGCTCTGGGGATCTTTCTTATGTTATCAGCTCTGTCAGGCACTTTCTTTTTTTTTTTTTTGGATTTGCATGCAAATCCTCATGTACCTAATTAAACTTGCTCCAGTCTTTGCTTTGCTTTATTCAACCAAAACTGCTGTTGCTAGCACACAGCCCTCTTTAGCTGCTCTTATATTGAACAGAAACAAACTTATCTCAGTCTAGCAAAGTGCCTAGGTGCATGAAAAATTTTAATGCGCATTTAAGTCCTTTACTAGTGGGGTGGTATGCCATAACTGAGGCATAGGAACTTCTTCCAATGCTTTTGTAGAAAAGAAATCACTGGAAAGACCGTTCAGCTTGCAGTGCAGAAGGATGGGTATATTTATATATTTTTGTCATTTCTAAGTGTAATGCAGAGAGGATAATTAGATAAAACCCTATTTTTTTTTTCTGTGAAAGAAGCAGCAAAGTTGATGGCTCTTAATATATTCTTAGCAAGCAGACTATTCACCTCACATGGCCCGGCACCGACGGTTTCAGCTGCAGCACAGATTTCTGACTCATTCACAGTGATCTTCCCTTTGAGATACTGGTTGCATTTCTCATTTCCCAAAATAAACAGGTTTGCTGCCCGGAGAAGGCCATCGTAGTGAACTACTAGAATTGAAAACAGAAATTGCTATTAGCAAAAACATTGAAGATAAAGCTTGATTTGATTTATGCTGCTTCGGTCATGTTTTCTCTGGAGGACACTTGCTTCCTTCCATTCTCACTGTTAATATGTGCTTGTCTTTTCAATTTCTTATATTTGTTACGAGTACGATTTAGAAGAAACGTGTTTGGTGTGCATGTCTGTTTAAATCTCAGAGAATACCTGGGTTTTGTTAGTAGGAGGGTTAGATAACTAGGTAAGAGGTGGGTTTATTCCACATCCCACTACCAGCTTGCTTTGAAACATCACAGAAATGAGAAAAAAAAAAAAAAAAGTGAGTGTGAAGATGCCAGCGGAAGTGTTTTGTTCCTTGCGTCGCACAGGAGTTATAGGGGTTAATGGGCAGTGGCACTGCCACCACAGGCAGCCAGGGGCAGGACTTGTGACTTGGAAAGCACTGAAGCCCTACAGCAGCGAGAGGTCAGGAAGCAGGAGCCTTCTCGATCCACGTGTCGGAAGACAGTCCTATGAGCTGTGAATGTAAGTAGGAGGCCTGGGCTCTGCACAGCAGCAGTTGGATGTGCCAGCCTTGCCCTGCTCTGAGTGGACATCCTGCTTCTCTAAATAAAAATAATAATAATAATAATAATAATAATAAAAGGATGCAATACTTCTCTCCCTGCCTGGAATGCAGGGAGGATTACACTAAGTCGTACATAAAATACCATGTAAAATCCTTGGCTGACAGACGCTGTGTCTATGTGCCGTTACGTAAGGCCGCAATCCTGCAGATCCCATTACAGGCTCTCCCGGCCGCGCCGCCACGTCCCCCGGGCCGCGCTGCCAGCACCAAAGCCGCCCATCAGGGAGAGGCTGGGACACATTACTTGCCACCCACAAAGAAATGTGCAGTAATGGGGACAAGGAGGAGAAGCTCCCATGTGTCCCTCGTGCCTCCTGAGCAGTGCGGCTGCTGCTTGCTGTGGCAACGCAACGTTGGAGCACAGCAATTGTTGGAGTAATTATTGTCAACTGGCAGCTATTAACTTTATATCAACACATAATTAGCCAGATATAGCATTTACCAGGCTAAATAAATGTCTGTTTTCCCCTTTATTTGTATTTAGTTCACGCACAACCTGTGTTTAATAAACATTAGGTTGCAAAGTCAAGTAAGCAAAAGTTGGGAAATGCCAGATTTCAGGCTGCCTATGTGTCTTTAATTCACTGACTTTGTGTGTGTCAATTATAACAATGTCTTTGATTCCATGATTCTATATTAGTCCTTTTTTTTTTTTTTTTTTTTTTCCCCAGCCGACACAGGGCTGCCTGCTTTGGGATGCAGAAAGAAACTGCTCAGATAGATGAATCAGAATTTTACAAAAAAGGGTTAGAACTCTTCAAAATAATCCTGCCAGGGGTTTTTTAACAGAGCAGTGTATTTTTCTATAGTTAGTTCTTTGAAATGTTTGAATCACTTTGCTTGTCACTGAAACTTAAAAAAAAAAAAAAACGGAAGAAGGGTGGACTAGTAGAAAATACTTCACATTGAATGATTTTAGCTGAAATACTTATAGCTTTATATAATTATAAAAAATCAATTTGCTTTTAATAACAAGAAGTTTTGTACAATCCCAGCATTTGGCAATGTCAGTAGCCTCAGCTATAATGACCAAAGGTAGGAAGCAAGCTGTCAACATATTCATTTAATTTTAAAAAATTGTTTCTTACATCCAGTGTATCCCCAGCCATAAACACTGCAAGCAGTCTTCTCTGGAATGGTGCATCCAGAAATAGGCAATCGTATTATATCTACAAAATTTGTCAATATGGCAGGTCTGAAAAGAGAAAACAAATAATAGATGTGATGAATTTTACCTGGCATTCCAAAATGTATCTTAGGAATTACGTTAAAAACTATCATAGACCACAGCAACTAAAAACTGTGCCAATTTTCTTTCTTTCATTTCCCTCTTTAGAGAATATGATGGATCTTTCTACCTACTTTTTGTTACAGCTGTTAATTTTCAAAAGATTTCTTGAAATGCTGTCACCACTTTCCTCTTAAAAGAAGTAATGATGACATTTCATTTGAATAAATAGTTTTGATAACAAAGAGATAGTTCAAAAGGTCATGTATACACAAAGATCTGAGTTACAATCTGGTGCTTAATCTAAGCACAGTAAAAACACATAGTTTTTTTCTTTCCTTGCTAAACCTGCTTATCAAGAAAAAATGTGGTAGCATCTGTTTTCTGAGTAAGGTAGATGAGCCTGCATTTCTACATATATCAACAGAAAAACAGACACTTAAAATATTCATATTATGCTGGTGAAGTGCACAGAAACAGCTGATACGAGCAACATTATTTGTCTTCTCATAGTTTACCTTATAGAGATGTAATCTGCAGTATTGCAAGAGCAGAGAACTGAATAGGCAATTCTTATTTAAGAGGAATCTCAGGAGTTGAAAATCCTGGAGATAATGATGGTAACAACTAACCTGCTAAGTTTCAGTAAGACCAAGTCCGACCCTTCGGGCCCATAGACCAACTGGGAAATATTCCGAACTTGTTTATGCTTCTCCTCTCCCCTTCCTTTGATATTATGGACTCCAAGCCAGGCTTCATAATCTTTCAAATCTTTGTACCTAAATGAAGCAAAGCTGGTTAGGCTTTTGCTGAGTGCGTAATAAAATAACACACAAAAACACTCTGCTTAGTATCATTATGCGGAAAGATCTTAACTAATACTCTTCAGTAGAAATGCATCAATGCTGCCAATTGCTTTTCCAAAATCAACATGTTCAAATGTAAGCTTTTGGGATGAAGCCACTGCATAATTTTAAATTTAACTGTTACTAACATGTAATTTTTGTTTCCTAATAGTATCCAAACATTTAGATCGTTGGACAGTCTGAACCTTTTTTTTTTTTTTTTTTTTTTTTTTGAGATTTGCCCAAGATTTCTGTTTTATTCAGTCCTGTTCAGCAGAAGCATGAGATTCTTTTCATAAAGAGGCAATTGTCTAGCCATTGCAGTTGGAAAACATATTTACACTTCTAGGTAAAAAAGCCCGAGATCTATTAGATTAACAGCACCAATAATAGAAAATAACAGGGTCCCACAGGACTTCCTACATCAGAAGAGCAGTGTTAGACCCAAACAGGAGGGAAAAGTGCAGTATGTAAAAACAGAAAGTGTTGTGGTGCTAAGTAACAGAAAATACACAGATTTCAATATTGCACTACTACTGTACCGAGAAGGGAAACACTGTCTTGCTGTTAGAACCCAGTCTTCCTTTATCAAAGAGCCTCCACAGATATGTTTATTCCTGAAAACAGAGAAAACAAACAAACAAAAAATAGTGTTCATTTCTATTTATTCAAAAATTCTAACAGTATTTTTACTGTCAATTTCCCAGATACTTTTAATGCATTAGTGCCAGTGAAAACCAGCTGTTTGATAGCACCCCCAAAATTCCTCTCTGTTCCTTTGCGCTATTGCTTCAATATAGGAATATGGCTCCAAATGTATCACCCAGAAGACAAAGAAATTTGGCTACTTAGTTCACTTGCCAGTTTCAAAGTTGGATCTTTAATAAGGGAACTACATAACAACATAAAACTGGGGGAGAATTCTTTGTAATAGGAACTGGACTGAAACTTTTAAGTAAGCCCCCAAACTGCCACCAGATGTAAACAGCACTCGATCATTATTCAAGGAGGTATTATTCAAAGCATTGACCTCAAGGTGGAGACTTTCTATGTGATTGCTAGTCCCATGGCATTTCAGTCCCCACATACTTCAGTTGGAAACAATCTGCAGTGTATGAAGACCTACGTGTGATTATAGCAAAACTGCAGCATAATATATCAAGGGAAATCCAAGCAATTAAACGCGACAGTCCTTTCAGGAATTAAGAAGCATGTGGAATGTAGATTAATTAGTTTCCTTCTTTGTGCCTCCAAAATCACATTCATTTTCTGTTGCTCTTTGGAAAGTGAATCAGAATTGTCAGCAACTTGGGCAAAGCTTAAAAATCTCACAATTTATAAATTCAAATCACACAAATGTTCACAGCTTTTCAGAGTACTACTGGAAGGAACCCAGCCTTCATGTACAGTTCAAAGACAGCAGAATAACAGACGCTAGCCATTTTCTTTTTCTTTTTTGGGGGGTTGGGGAGGGGTGTGTTTTGGTTGAGGAACAAAATATCTCATCCAAAAAGCTGCATTCTTTTTTAAATCTAGGCTGCCTAGTTTTATTACAAGAATGTCATAAACAGGAGTGCAAATGTGTGTTCGTGCATATTATCTTTATGTAACGGTTTACAAGATTGCACCATCTGCTTTAGAAGATTGACCACTGCACATATGAAAGATTAAAGTTCTCATTTAAATATGGCCCACATCCAGAGTAGAGTCTCTGAAATAGATGAAGTTCCTCCAGATGTACTTAATTATATCTGATAATGGAATCTATATCCCATATTTGAGAATGTGATGTTGTATGTCATTTATTTAACATTTAGAAGTGGGCCTCAGTTACAAAATAGAAACACGAGTTTGTAAGCATCACTAAGCCTTTTATCATTGAGATAAACATGGCAATTTCATTTTGAGATGTGTGGTTAGATTTTGCCCAACAAATATACCCACATGTAATACATAAAAAACACATTATGCCACTTAAATATTTTAGGGATCCCACTTTCATAAAGGAATATATGATTATTTAAATGATCATTCTCCTTACCTATCTAAAAATTCATCATCAGCAGCTATCAAGGCCTATATAGACCTTGATGTGTGAAAAAATAAACATTTCCATATAATGACCTATCTAGGTATCTGTTGCAGAAATAGAGTGATATTCCTCTAGAAATGTTTTTCTGGGCCATGCTTTACACTTCTAAATGGCCCGATCCAAGGACATAAAATGCACAGGTTACGACGGCATGTAAACAATCCTCAATATTTTTTCAGTTCATGAAAAGTAATGCAGAAATTAATCTTTTCTTTTACCCTAATTTTGAGTTAGACCTATTTGACAACATAGTCTTAAAAGGGACTTCAACTGACAAATCACAAGCTGAAAGCATTGAGCTGTACTTCAGTCTGTATTACCAGACAAAAGATTTTTTTCTGAAGCATGAGATATTTCCTGTTATTCACTAATGATTCACACTTCAGTCTAGCTGATAAGTTATGAACCAAACAGTAATGAACACAAGAAGCAGTAATTCTGTGTTCTGGCTTTATGTAATAGCAAAGTAAGATCTTGTATAATGTAATAAACATTTCCAGCAGTACCCTTTGGGGTCTTGTTTTACAGGGTGTAAAGGATTTCCTTATATTTTCCACTCATATTTTAATACAAACTAAAATTCATTTGCATGTAATGATAAGAGCAAAAAGTTAAATTTGATATGGGTGTAAATCCTGAACCCAGCAGTTTGCAGATAAATGTACTGCTGTTAAAACACAAGTATTGACATGAACCTCAACTTTCTTATAATGGTAACAAAAATAACAGTAATAATCCTGCTGGACACTAAGCCAGTGACTTGAAAAGATCTACAATAGCTAATCTAAGGAGAAGAAGTCTATGTACGCTTTACAAGATGTTATTTGTAAGCTAGCAGTAATATACAACTAGCAGAACATATAATCATTTCACTGACAAACAGAACACTTTGGAATCACCAGATGTTCCAGGAAAAAAAAATAGATGCAAAATTATTGTAGCCATTTTTTTTCTATTGTACCCAAAACAAATACTCTATTATATGTATTGTTTTTCTGTTCAAAGTGATATTTACCTGTATGTCAGACTAACCATCCATCCTTTGTTAGTCTGTGTTGGGTTTCCATTTACAACTCTCACCTGTTTTGTTGAGGCACAAGGAATGACAGTATCTGAAAGCAGGTCCAGAGATCACATTTTACTAAAAACAGCGGTAGGAAACCTGTACAGTTGCACATAAGGACCACAAGAAGGTCAATATTTACCATGGATAGGGTTTTCTTTCTTGACCTAATAAAATTTATTTCTAAAGAATTCAAACTACTTCACTGAAGCTGAGCTCAGTGTGTCAGTGTATTTATGGGAGATTCTAAAATACACATATTTAAATTAGTTAATTATGGAAATTCACATAGTTATAAAACAAAAACTGAAAACCATTACCATATCTCACGACTTGCAAGACAGGAAGGTGAGAATACAGCTACGAAATCTATCGGCAAATCAAGCAATTCTCCTTTTTTTAAAGTGTTTTTTACCAAGCTACAGGTAAATTTCTATCTTTAGTAGATCTTTTTCAGTATCCCAATCTGAAAAGAACAGCTAGTCTTAGAGGATACACTATACACAATGAACACAGTACATTTGCAAACTTACTTACCATCTAAATTGGTTGTGATAGGAGTTGTATCACCTTCACCTAGACAGACACATAAGACATCCATAAGACAGAAAAATTAAAAGGCATCTAAAAATTGAACAGGGTCACAATAAACTAGAAAATGGCATATTGCTAATTCATAAAATTTAAAACTTCAGTGCTTTGTGATTAGGCTGTAAAGGTGCAATTTGGTAAGGATTAACCAGAAAGCAGAATGGAATAGAATTAAACATTTTGCAACACTGTGTTTCAAATATATCAGACTGCCTGCCACATTTGATTTATATCTTTTATTCAAAAAAGTCAATCTTAAAAATGGAGCTGTGATTTTTTTTTTTTTTTTGATTGTTTGTTTGTTTTGGTTGGTTGGTAGGTTGGTTCGGTTTGGCTTTTTGTAAGCTTACAGGAACTATAGAAGTCAAATGATAAAATCCAAATAAGCTCTAGTGAAATTTTCTAATTTGATAAAAACCTTTGAAAACTGAGCCATTTTTGTATGTCTTTGCTATCAGCAAAAGGTTCTCCTGATGAGAATATATTCTCCAAAATCTGCTTTGATTCTATCCTCTAGCCCAAGCCAAAATGTAGTTACAGTAAGTCTCTTCCTGTTGAAAACTTTTGCCTTCAGTAAAGTGGTCTGCAGTGTGTCCCACAGGTATGAGCCAGATGTATGATGGCACCTCCTGGAAATTTGCACGTGCAAACCTAAAATTGTCCCATATGGTTTTAGATGGAAATCTAAGACAATAGGATAGGTTGTTTTATATACGTGTAACATGTACAGATATATAGATGTATAGATAGATAGTTTTATGCATATATAGATACAGGGATGGATGGATAGAAAGATATAGGGTAGCTTGATCAGACCAACTGCAGGCACTGGGTGTTTGGTAGCTGACAGTACATTGTCTGTATCTGTTAAGCTGTTCTCACTGCCCAAATAAGCCACCAATAATTTAAAACTAGTCTACACAAGTTAGGGTTGTGAACTAGACATATTCCAGTCCTGGAGTTTGAGTCCAGAAATGACAATACTCACCATTTCCATAACCCTGCCAACAACTGTTGCAGTGAATATTTCCTTAGGAATTCATAAATCCAGATAATGAATTCAGAGAAAGTGAAGAGAGTTTATATTTCTTCAGCTATTGTGCTTCATCTGAATTGACACAAATAACCTTCTGCACATTGTGTTTTTTCTCCAAACAGACAATAAAAATCACCTGAGACTTCAAACATCACCTCTTAGAGCTGCTGCAGCTCAGACCGTGAGCACATGCAGCATATTGCTGCTAGAGATGAGTGTGACATTATGCTCGACCTCTACAGATCACAGGAATGCATTCAAGAACTCGATTTACCATTTAAACAACTTCCCAGGATACACAGCACTGTGGTTTTGAAATATGCTTGAAGAGCAACATCTTAAATATGATTTCACATTCTTCTGTATGATTCTTTTTCCGCTTATCTTCAGTTAATCATTCAATCCATTTTAATTTTGGCTATTTAAACTATTCTGTCTTTTTTTCTTAACAGATCACGTTAGTGGAATGATGTTTCTGATTCTTTCCAGAATTTAAATCATCCCATAAACATCTGAAATGCAATCTCATCTATATAACGTATATACACATCAGTATTATATATCAGTGATACATATACTATACATAGTAATTTATTCTCATTCTGCTAGCAAGTATAGAACACACAAAGAAACTGTGAAATTTGTAACACAAAAACAACTGTCCTTGGGTTTCTTAAGGCCACCGGCAGTGTTCTGACCAGTTCTTTGTGTCCTTCCAGCCACCATTCAACAGTTAGATTTGTTGGAAAATGTTTGACCATTTTTAATAGTCCTTTTATGCTCCTGCTGCATAAATAAGCCTTAAAATTTCCAAGCTGGTCAAGGAAAATGACCCCTTGTAGATATATTGCACAATTTTGTCTGCTCCTTCTCAGTCATGCACAAGTGATTCTTGATAGAATTACACATTTTCTGCTGCCATGAGTGACAGCCAAAAGGTATAGATATGCATGTGACACCACGGCTTCACTGAGACTGCACAGCTGGCAATGCCCGAGGCACACTGAGTACTCACACCGAGAAATAGGACAGTAATCCCAGGGAACAAGAGGATCATCTGTGTAACACCAGGGACCATGAGCATCATCATCTGGATTGCGGCAATAGTTTTTCTTCAGTTTACTAACATCTGGTTCTCTGAATATTGGTATATGCCTACAGGGAGAAAAATTTGAAGTGCTGAAAAGCTTTATACTATAGCCCAAATTTTCAAAGGTTAAGTGTTGTCTTGCTCTGCATTGTAATATTATCTGATTGAGAAGCCTACAGGTCAGGGTTTAGGGCTGGTTAAAATCAAAGGAAATCAGAGGCTCAAATATTTGTTGACTCTGGGTCCAAGTTTCCTTGGATTGGTATTCTAAGCACTGTGTCCACTGGACAGTTGGGGGTTTTCTAGATCCCTCCCTGAGGCTGAAATGCCTGGATACCCTAAAGAGGGCTTTTAAAATTGGTTGGAAAAGTGTCTATGTTGCATGCAGCAATTCTGCAGGCCTGTTCAGGGAACGCAGGTCCCCTCTCACTGCAGGTGAACAGTGAGCAGAGGGGGAGCACTGCATCTGCACAGGACAAATCTGGCAAAGAAGGACAAATGTGAGAAAGTTAAAAAGACAGGGAGAAGGACACACAGCTCAGAAAAACTAGTGATAGATGACTTGATTATAACCTTCTGTTGGGCATTTAGCTTAAGGTTTGGGACTGAAAGTCTTCAATAGAGAAAGCTGGGACAGGAGCACAAAATTCTCAAATTCCCAGTTCAAAATTCTCTTGTCACCTCACAGCCAGCCACGACATCGCTTATAGCACATCCATAAGTTGGATATTCGTCTATCCATGCTATGAATACATCCATACTATTAATATCCACAGTGGGATTAGCCTCTGGAGTGACACAAAACTTCTCAGATGGAAAAAAAATGTGGAAGGGGGAAAACCTGTTAGTTTTCTGCTAGAACAAAAAAAATGTTTCTATCTGGGGCAGTAATGTGAGTGAAAGCTCAAAGGGCAATTTTTGATGACTTGCATTTTTGTCTGTTATCTGAAAGTCATCATTCCTGTTATTCCTCAAAGTTATTAATTTTTCCCCCAGAGCCAACAGAGACAGCATGGAGAATCCTGACCTATTTGAAACAGTCTTGGAAACTCACAGCATCCTTTGGACGACTGGTTCATTTTTACCTTAATGAATGTTTTAAATTAAGTTGTCATTTCCACTGCTTGAATAGGAAGCCAAACCAATAATGAGCAGTAGAAATGGCAAATTGCTTTAATGACATCTGATGTCAATGGCATTAGATCATAGACTCATAGGATAATTCAAGTTAGAAGGGACCTCAGGAGGTCTCTAGCCCAACCTCCTGCTCAAAAGAGGATCAGCTTTGATCAGGTTAGATTACTCAGAGAATTATGTTCAGTACCTTGAAAAGGGAAAATGAGAAGTAATTGTAACTGGACCTTCTTCTGCTGTGTTCCTTCTATCCCCCTCACAGGAAAAAAAAACTTTAAAGGACAGAGATAGGGTAAACCAGGCCTGTAAACTAAATGCTAAGAATCATCCCAAAGACTGCAATTAGTGGTTAGTCTGAACAAAGACATGTTGTGTAATATATTTAAACATTGAAAAGAAAAAGAAAAAAAGAAAAGAAAAGGAAAGAAAATAAAAAAACTATGAGCCGTAGGGCATAAGGGGCTATTTTAGAATCTCAGCAGAAGAAGAGATGCCATCTGGAGGCAGTATTTATTCAGGACGCAGTGAACCATCTCTTTCTGTTTCATGAGTGCACACCTACGTAAGTCTTCAATATTCTTGTCCCATGTGGAGCAAGTTAGTCCAAATCTTGTCTTGGATAAATTTCCCATGTAACTCTTGCCATTGCCACGATAACAATCTGAATAAGGAAGATTGAGACAAAAAAAGTAGAAGGTGATAGTGCAACACTGAAAGGAAAACTTTTCCATTCCATCTTAATTCCAGGTAATCAAAGACACTATATAAACACTGCAAAATGTAAATCAGATACCAGTAGAAATCAAATCAGAAAAAAAAATGGGATAAAGCTTTTAAATTTAGATATATAATTTGCTGATTGAGGCCTACATGCTCAGTGCTGTACCCTTTTAAATTTTGTCCTATTTAAGTAAATTTGGATTTTTTCCTTCATAAATAGTTTGTTTATGTTTAATTTGCAAGTCTCGTACAGAATACTTAAAAGTTGTCAGGAGGTGTTTTATGGGGAAAAAAAAAAGCCTCCCTCTCCTCACCCGCAAACCAGGTGTTCTAAGTCTATTTGGGAACAAGTAATACACCTTAGTCTGGATTCTGGATAAAGGCAGCACCATATAATTCTAAATTTAAGTTCTACTTTGGCAAAATCAGAAAATCAACACAACTTCACTTTTAATGTAATTCAAAAACTTGCCTTTTAACTGCAGCAGAAGTCATGTTTAATTCATAATCCTTTATCACAAGTCTTCCTGAAACTTTTCAAGAGGATTGTTTAAAACGCTCATTACTATAAGGACTTTTGTATAAAGCATTTCATTTCACATTCATCAGTATTTTTACTTTTTGATAATTGATACTTAAAAAAAAAAAAAAACAGGATGAAAGGCAAAGCTGAATCCTTACTCTTGCAACAGCACCTATTTTAAATCTTAAGAGACAAACTGGCTAAAATTTAAAGATGGAGTTATTATTTATTACCTTAATAGTTAGTCTTGTATTTAATCATATTAAAGCTACTCTGAAGTATATTTAATGGAACCTTATTTTATTCTATGACTGACATCAGTTCTCAAGAGACAATAACAACTGTTAGAGTAATGCCAAGATTTAATGGGAAAAAGCACAGAAATATTTACCCGGATCTTTGGAGCAAACTTTACAGACCTATGTAACTACTCCATGCTAAAAAGCTATGTGGAAGAAAGGCTGTTTCAGCTCAACTTCTTTTAGTCAATGTGCTGTATGAGAAAAATATCATATTTGGTGGCCTCATATAAAGTTATAAAAAGACTATCAACCAAGAAATCAAGGGAAATCATCTCAGCTCCGGAAAAGGTCTTTCAATTTAATCAAGACTTTGGATGAGAACTCCAGCTAAAACAACTTGCAGATTCACCTTGTCTAAAGATCAGATCCCACAGTAAATCTTTGCTGCTGCCTTCCCTGATGAACTGAAATATGGAGTGAGAACTGAATCTCATTTACACCGTGATGAATCCCAAGTATGCAAATAGAGCTGAGGCAGGACGGCACAGGTGTAATGCAGATGTACTGACATGAGCTTCTCCTGCTTTTTTATCTGCCATTTGAAAATGCACTTAAAATCACTTCATCTCCTCTCCCTCTGTTACCTTGTTCATTTGAGATATCACACTTAGGGATCTGGGAGCAATAACCAATCCGGATGTTTGGGTCAGTAGTAAAACACCAGGGTGATTCAGATCCATCTGGATTTCGGCAGTAGTTCTCCCTCAAATCCCTATAAAAACAAATATGTTAGCTTACAGCAGGGATAACCTAAAACCAATGATGCATTATATCACTTTTTATTATGAATTAGCAATAATATAGGCTCCTTATGGTCTGTATGTTACTGATCAGTGTCAAGTGTGGGGAGATGCAGAGCCAGTACGAATACAGCATCTAGTAAAATTAGTTATAACAAGAATAAAGCTGTGGGAATTCATTTTCAGTGGACCTACGTTTTGACTGACTATAAGATTTCACTTGAAAATGAAAAATATTTCCAATATAGTTTATTTTTATTCAGGAATCTTCACCAAAATTTGAATGCAAAGTGGCACTAGGTACACCTGCAATCCATTACATGTGCTTTCAAACAGAAATATTACCGGAGTACTTAAAATTCCCAGTACTTTGAATTGTTCCATTGAGCTTAGAGAAAGAGAGTCCTGTGGATTGCTAGTGATTCATTTAAGAAACTGAAAAATGAAAAAATGCATATTGAAATTCAATACGTGTTACCTTTAGAGGAAAAGTTAGTCACAAGGGAGTGTCTTTAAATGTCTCTTGCAGCTCAAATTAAGCAGTCAAAACTCTCAAATGTAGGTTTTACTCTTTCATCTCCTGACAGTTGTTCTGTGCAGTTCCATATCTCACTGCTTTTCTCCACCAGCAGCAGTTACTGATAACTGACTACAGAAAGGATGAGCACAGTACGCGAGTTGTTATCGCATGAGCTTCAATTCACACAAATTGTTCGGCTGGTTTTACTAGAGCTGGTCTGAATAGCCACTACCTTTTCAAGTGGCAGTCCTAATATTTTAACTGCTCTGCTAACACTGCAGAGAGGCCTAATCATATTGCAGTGTTGCTCAGGTACAAAACAAAGCAGTTCAAGTGGTATCTTGTTTGAGAAAATGCTGTGGGATCAAGCTAAAGCACTAACTTCTAAGCTCAGGAAGATCCTGAGATTGACAGAGGAAGCTCAGAGTCAGTCCTGTTTTTCTTTACAATAATTATTGTTAATTATTGCTAACTTTTCGTTGGTTGTGTTATTACGAACAATATTTTATTCATAAGCCTAACCATAATGGTGAAGGAATTAAAGCAGCAAATCTGTTTCACTCGAACAAGTCATTATTAGAGACATAATCTCTGATCAGAATCATCACTTTATCTCAAAAGACCACACCATTAAAATAGGTGCAAGGCCAGACTGATATTTAGCCATATAAAATTTATTCAGTATAAGCTGGGCTTGATTGCCTGTTGGTTACAGGTTTCCTATATGCTTAGTGTAGACATCTGAAGAGTATTATTATGGAATATGTCAAAAGTAAGGAGATGATTCATGTGCTGGGACTATTCTTCTCTTTTTATTAAGTGCAGGGGAGGTTTAGATGACCAATGGTAACCTAAGTAAAAAGAATCCTATTCAGGCAAATAGAAATACAGTTAGCAATGAGACAGAAAAAAACTCTGAAAGGATGCAAAATAAAAGAAATGTGGCCAAATGCTATGAATGTCCAGTCTTTTGAATGAGATTACATGTAGCTAGCATGGGGTAAGATATACTAAGTTAAAGTCAGCCTCAAAACTACTGGCTCTCCTCTGAGAAAGAAAAACAATCTTAATGTAAAACATCCATACACTTCACAATCAATTACATGGTGAATAAGTGCTTGAAGAAGATTAGGAAAAAAAAAATCCCATATTCAAATAGCTTCCAGCATCACCAAGTAGCTGGACTAGATTGCAGAGTGAGGGATGGTGGCCACCTGACCCGTTCTGGTGAAACACAATTCTAAATTGCAGGAATAACACTTGCATCCATCTACTCACTTGCACTTGAAGTTCTCTGGAGTGATATTGTGCTGGTGCGGGAACTGGGAGTCCCACCGCTGGCACGGCACGCCGCTCCAGATGGTGCTCACGGTGCCACGGTAGCCCTCGCCCTGGCCCTGGCTACACGTCAGTGTCTCAGCCGCTGCGTCCGTGCTGTTCACAACGCTCGGATCTGCAGGAGAGGAGAATTGCTGCCCTGCTCTCTTGGGACTGAGCCCAAGTGTCAGGTATAAACTCTGTGTCACAGTTCAAGTTGTGGCAATTTGGGCCTTTTGGTGAAATTGCCAAGCTGAATTCTTTAAAAGAGTAATTTTCTCCTTTTCACATTTATAATGCCTATGAGATCAGAACAGTTACTGGATTCTTTAGGCCAAGAACCTAAAATATCTACAATATCTAACAATTTTAGAGAGATATCCAGTCTATTCAATAATGTTAAACATCATGTAATAGTCTAAGCTATTGTTTCCAATTAAACAAATATTCTTTCACTTGCTTAGATTTACACAGTTGAGAGACCACCCATGTTCACACTGTTAAATATCATAATACACTTGCACGATTAGAACTCTACTAATTTTCTCCAAAGAATTCTCATTCCCATTCCATCAGTGATGGGAAAGCAAGCAGAAATCAATGAAAATTGATAAATCTTACTGTTAAGTAATGTCTTAAATCCCTCTTTTTATGATTCATATAGTTAGAGAAGAAAAATCCCAAGCTTTTGGAAATCAAAGATAAATATTCTCTACAGAGAGACAAATGTTGTAAAGACCAACAAATTCATCATACTCAAGATCTTTTGCAGATGTTGATATGTTCTGCCTTCATCCTGGTGTGGGCTGTCTTGAACTAAATTCAGAAAAACAGCGGTTTCTGCAATGACTCATTCACATAACTTGAAAGGTTTTTTTCTTATGCAATATCCATAATTGTCAAATAATTGCACAGATATTGCACCAGATATATACAAACTAGTACAAAACTAATTAGACTGCAGTAAGAGCAATGTCTCGATAATATTCCCAAAACCTTGCAACTTAATATTTTTGTAAGAAATTGTCCATCTGTTGGTAATTGCTCTTGTTCACAAGACTAATTTTATCAAGTACCTTACCAAGTATTTCTTGCCAGCAATGAGTATACTAAAGCTTTAAAATTACTTTTCTTCTAGTTGTTCAGTGATTAGAACTATATTCATGTGTTTTATTCATACTATGGTTAATTCCTAGTAACTTCAGCCAGTTCTATGATCTTGCATAGGAAACCAAATGTCTTAACAGATGGGTTTGGATTATTTGCTTTCTAATCTTTTACATTACTGATCACTTCCATGTCAGATTGATAACATCAAGTTGTGCAGTTGTGTTATACATTTTTATGTGCTGGAGAAAAATTCCCTTTTTCTTTTCATCTGGTTGATGTTTTTGCATCAGTGGTTCATGGTCAAATTAATTTCCTGTCCTTCCTTCCCAAGGCACTTCATCTGCAACAGTTGCCCTGTTTCAACGGGATTGTGAATTCCAAGCTCACTCAAAGTCAAAAAGACTTTGCATTGGAAGCATCACAATCTGGCTTCTGCAGGCTGACAAACTGCATCCTTTCTAGTGGAGTCATCAAAAGGACTGGAGGCAACTATATTTTTAGTCATCGTTATTCACTTTATGAATAACTGGACAACAAAAAGAGGAATGCATGAATATTTTAGAAATATGAAGCTGTTTTTGTCAGCTATCTTATGCAATAAAACTTAAATACATAGGGTTTAATTGTACACAAGAAGCTATTATTTCAGCTGTAATGAAATATTATATCTGCTCTATATTCAATTGAAAATACTACAGAAAACATGTATGAAAATACTACAGAAAACATGCACGATTGCATTGATAAAACCATTTATTTTAAAGCAGTTCTGAAATATTTAATACACCAATAATTTAAGTGAGGCCATAGAGTTATTTCTTAGTCCTTTTGACCTTTTTTGTCAAATATCTGTAGATAAACACCTCATTCTTAGACCTAACATCATCCATCCAAACAGGGATGTCTTTCTACAGATCAAATTTCTCTCAATTTATGTCAAAATGCTCTCTTTAAAGAAACATCTAGCCAGACAAAGTAAGCTAATTGCATGACCAAGCCACTGCCAGGAGGCCCCATATTATAATGTATAAGAATGAAATGGTCACATAATCTTCAATGCATGGTGGATGCTCTTACTACTTTGTGGCAGCTCTCAGTTACCACTATTCTAATAGCAGGTCAGTAAGGAGGAGGATCACTAAAATATTAGTTTTTATTTGAATTAATAATGCAATTCTATAATTCAAGAAGCTCCACAGAACCATCCACATTTTTTTGTAGTCTGCATTTTCTACAAACTTTTAATTTTTAAGCTTGAAAAAATGAGACTCATGTTTCAGGAATTAACCACTCCCTTTACCAAGTCACAAGTGCTTGTGTTTTCCAAAGCAACCTCTCACATTCTAGCTCTTAAGTCTCAGGCAGTGTCCATAAATGATCATAAAAAGCAACAACAACAACACTTTATTTAGGTTAACATCACGGGTCCTTGAGATCTTGCGACTCACAACTGAGCATCAACACAAGGTATGCAGACCACCAGAGAAGGAGGGCCATAGCTCAACTCCCAAGAATGCACTCACCCGTTCTTTTAACAGGAGGACAGAAGATGAAGATACACATCAGTGAGGCTGAACTCACATCCTTATCCTAGCAATTACCCTAAGCTATAAGTAATGAGCTGCAACACTTAGGAGTACTTTTGTCACTGAAAAAGCCATCATGAATTTAGTTTGGAGATGATTTTGAAATTCAATTAGCAATTCTCCATAATTATGTTCTTTTATATGTACCTTATGTACCTTAATAACACTTGAGTTTCATATTACAAGTACTTTTCTTTCCTCAAGTTTAACTTGTATAGTTCTAAACTGAGCTTGTTTAGTTCTAAACTGAGCGAAAAAAAACACCCATAAGGAAGATCAAAAAAAAAAAAAAAAGGATTATACAAATGCTTATTTGCGATTTATTGATTAAGTGCCAGTTATTATTCCTACCTAAGAAACTTCATTATTAACAGGAGAATTAGCAATTATCATCAGCATTTTGCTACTATTGAACTTTGGTGCAATGCTTTTTTCTAATTCAATTAATTAGGACAGGTACTCAAGGATTTCCTGTTAGAATTATATGCACCTTCACACATTCACCATCAGGTCACCAACCAAAATCCGACATTGCAGAAGTGTCACATTTCCATATAACTTTCCATATTATAGTACCTCTAAATAAACAACATTATTAATATGGGGCAGCTAATATATTAATTAGTGCTTGAGTGAAGAAATAAAAATATTATTGTGAGCTTCATGTGTAAAGATAAAGACAATGTCTAAATTCTGATTCTCACAATAATGCCAGCATGAAGGAATC